ACTTAATAGTGTTAGGACGTCCGTATACCAACAAGTAAATTCTTATTTTTCTTTCTTATTTCTTTTATTTACGTTTTTAAGGTTATCAAATCTAGAGCGCTGACCCGCGTCTTGTCGGTTATCTGAGCTACTTGATGCTCTCGCACGGCTCGCGTTATCTTTCTATTTTTCTTCTCTTCTTCTTCGCTACTACTAAATGACAATTCTGCGTCTTCTTTACATGTTTCGTTTTCTTTTGCTCTTATCGTAATATTTATTTGTCCTCTTATTTCTTTCTCTTGTCTTGGTCGTCTTACTTGTTTTCTTTCTGATCCATTGCGTTTTGACTAGCATTCTTTTTATCGTGTCCCGCCTTTTTACAATTTACGCAATATTTTTCCATCGCGTTTACGCCGATGGGTTTTTTAGCTTTGAGTAAAGAAAATCAGTTCGTGTATCTACTGGTTCGACAATTTCGTTTGACATGTCCGATTTTTCCGCATCTTTGGCATTGCGATATTCTATTTTCGCGGGCGGGTGTGCGTACTGTATTCGCTTTTGCACGCCCAAAATTTTCCATTGGTCCCTTAAATTTCTCTTCCGCGCTTGCACCAGTGATGTAATCTTACAGCGTTGTATAATGTTGTGATCGTACCAATAGTTTTATGTCATCTAGTAATCCGAACTGAAAATTGCATAGCCAGAAAATTACATAGCCTTACAGAGCCTGCTACTGTATGGTTTCTAAGATCGCTCGTTTACTTTCTATTGTGTTATTTCGATCTTCTATCATAGACTCGTATAGCTCCATAGCTAGTTTGTTCGTACGCAATCCGAACGCTTTTGCCGGATTCTTCGGATCTTTGTTTTAGCGAATTGCATTCTAATTGGAAGTGTGTAGTACTTTTCTTGCTAAGATAGCAAACTTCTAGCTCTCTTTTCAACTGAACAAAATCGCGTATATCTCGAGTTTGAAAATCAGTCATAGCTCTGCCTTTTAGTTTAGTGCATAGTATTGCTTCTAGTAGCATTCCTTCTTCTATCGGATTTGTATTTTTCATAGCGTATGATGCGGCACTTAAGAATTCCGGCAGTTTATGAGAGGTTTCATCGAATTCCGGAATCATATCGCGAGCTTTTTTTAATCGTAAGATATCCCGCTACGATCTCGGGTCGATTTCGTATATCTTCGAGTGTTCGTCCGTAGGTTATATCTAACGGTTCGTCACGGAGTTGTTATCGTTAGGGTCATTAGGCACTTGTGCGAATCGATTTTCGTTATAGTCGAAAACCGTAATTTCCAATCGACCCATTCGTTTTTGTAGCGCGCGAATTCCTTGTACACGTGTAATATTGATTCATTGTTCGGTTTTGATTGCTCTACCCTTCTGCGCGAGGGGCTTGCCGAAGCTCTGAGACGTTCTATTTTCGCGTCTACTTCTGGGCGAGTTACCTCCGGTTCCGTAGTTCACTCGCCACGAGGTATACGTAATTGTCCGTCATATATCTATGCTCAAGGATGCACAGAGTTGTGTAATATTCTTCCGGATCAAAACTGCTATCGTCGTAAGATGTTAGTGAGAACTCTCTCCGTTGTGAATTTTGGCTCTCGTTTCCTTCAGAGCGTCTCGTTCTAAGATGCAGTCTGTGTTCGTCCATTGGTTCCGGTTATTAGGCTCTCGTCAACGTCGTTGAATGAAAATACTCGCTCGATAGTTATCGAGTCACTACATGTAGATGGAACACCGGCTCAGATGAGCTCTCATCCCGAATAAGAAGGGAGGGTGTGCGTCACGGGGCCCAACCACGAACCAGTCGTGAAAACTCTTAATTATTTTGCGAAAAAATACCACCTCAGCCAGAATCGAACTTGAACTTCCTGCTTATCGGGCAGGCATCTTATCCCTTCGACTACCGAGGCATGTGATGATATTTATCACAAATAACGTGTTTAGAATAACATGTCAACAATATAATGATACACATATACACGTATATTACAATATACATATATACATGTATTCTCTCGAATCCCCACGACCGGTACCCCAGAGAGATGATGGTCCTATTCTCTCGATGGATGCAGATCGGACTGCAGCGGCGACACCCTCCAACGCCATTGGCAAATATACAAATAATCCTCCTGGAGCGCGACAGGAGTGTCGCGTTTCTAAATTTCGACGAACGCTATCGGGAATATCGCGTATGGCTTCTTGGGCCTCTACATGCACGGGGGTAATAGGACTTCGCGTTCTCGTGTTCGCTCGCCGTGTAACCACGATATATTTCTAAGGAGTCGGTTTCTATTTATTTCGCCGTCCGACATCAATGCTATCGCTTGCTTACAATTTTTACTGCGACGATTTTTTCACTTACAGTATCGCTGCTAGCTTCATACTGCTTCATTGTCATGTGTTATTGTCGTAGGTCGATACTTTTTCCGGTGTCGCTGATATGCGCTCGCTAACTGCTCTACTGGGTGTCTTTATCGACTAGTGTCGATGTACGTTGGGCGATGCTGACTCGCTGCTCTGCTGCCGCTGATAGCTGTAGGGTTGTCCTAGGTCGGCACTCAGCTATCTTTTTCGTACTCTTTCGATTGCTTACTATTTTCTAATGGAGCCTTTTCTGTCCGCTTGTTTTTCACAGGTCTTATAATTTTAGAAAGTTTTTCTTCTGCCTACAGCCTTGGGACTAATACTGTAGGTCTTATGAAAGTTGCTAGAAAAATTTTTTCTCTTTCTGCCCGTTTTGTCTGCTAGGGCTTACCCTCGATTTCTGCTGGCTCGGTTAGCGATTATCCTCTCAGATTGTATGAATCGTGGGGATAGTGTCCCCCACTGCCACTAAAATGTTGTAGCCCGGATTGGGTTACAAGATTGTAATTGTATTGATTGTAATTGATTATAATTAGGAAAAGTCGGGTTTGGAGCGACTTAGGAGCCTTAGGAGTTAGAACTCCGAGCAGGATCGTAGATGGAAAGTTCTTCTGGTCAAATATTATTACTCATTTTTGTTAAGTAGCTGATTTATTGGTAACTTCTTGACAATGTTTCATGTGAATCTCACTATTACTGATAACAACTGACGAAGTACAACTGCCTTACGTATTGTGACTGCCCCTCTCTCGGTAATTTAAACGCGACCGTTTTTATAGTATTGTCGTAGTATTGTCTAGTAGTGTCGTCTAATTTTAAATATCATATCGGACCATATATGGTCAAAACGATGCGCTCTCGCAAATTCCTTGTTCGCGCTCTGCTTTGGAATTTGCGGACTTGCTCTTGTATTTCTGACCGGCGTTTCCGTAGCACCGGCTATTCCGAGATTCGAGAATGATTGAGGATAAGATATAATATACAAAAATAATATAAGGAGTAATTCGGGCTACAACAATATTAATTTTTGCTCTTGTTTTGAAAAAGATAAATAGCACGCGCACAGCGTGCGTTTGTAATGTCTAATATAATATATAATATATATTTATTATTTTTGTTATATACATTATTATACTCCGATAGCAAAACCTGCAGAAACAGATTTTGAACAGAGCTTGCTATCAATATTTGATGGCAAAAAGGCAACAAATTACATTCAGAGTGTATAATATCTGATGTGAGCAAACTCAAAAATAGGACAAAGCATGCTGATATGCCATGCCAGTAGATTGCTAGCAAAAACCGAGCAGAGCCTGTTGACATACTATGTATGTCAACAGATTGGCAGCAAAAACCAAGCAGAGCCTATCATTACGCATATTTAAACATAATAATTGGAAAACTACCGCTAGATGGCGTCCGTTTCTGGCACGCAAAATTTATCAAAGTTTCTATTTAAGCGAAATCATAATCAAAATTTAAACATGCATTTATTATTTACGTATTACGTATTTTTATGTATATGTTTAATGCAAGACGTAATCATCCAATAAGGAAGTTAACGAAGTTAGGGCAAGCTCTGCTCGATTTTTGCTGTCAATTTGTTCGCATAGTAGGTCAACGAGCTCTGCTCGGTTTCTGCTGTCAATCTGTTCGCATAGCATGTTAGCAGACTCTGCTCGGTTTCTGCCAATCTGCTGGCATGTCAGCAGATTTTGTCGACAAATCTCGAGCCTACCCAGAGAAAAATTATATTTAAATTGAAAAAAATCGTTTTTAACTTGATTTTTTTAAGTTAAAATAAAAATTTATTTGATTTCAAGAAATGACGATATTAACCCTTTTTAAGATAAATAAATTATTTATTCAAATTATTTATTTAAATAAAATAAATAATTGTTTAATTCGAGGAAAATACAGAAATGTAAGAAATAATTTAGTTGTGATTATTTTAAACCAAGAAAATTATTTCTTTAAATAAAATAGAAGATTTTTTGAATTATATACGCTCATAACTACATAAAAGTATATATGTATTTCTGGTGCAGCCATATTTTTGGTTAATCACAAAGGTCGTTCGTAACTTAACTGTGACAAAGAATCGCGAGAAGTGATTAATGTTCCCTCGCGTCTGATCAGGCGGTTTCTAAACTATTCTTATTGTGCTTTCTCAAAATATTTTATTAATATTTTGAGAGAGCATAATTCTATTATATAGTGTGATTTTTACGTAATTTATGTGATTTATGAAAATTTTACGCGATTTTAGTATTTTCAATGACACTAATCGTAAAAAAAAACATGCAACGCGATATTGATTATTTTATTAATTGTCAATTTATTCCCAATGTCCGATAAAAAAGTGTGTGATGAAATTTTTAATTATCCGGAAAAAAGTTTATATCTAATTATATATAATTATATTACATCAAATATATGCATAAATAATAACGTAAAATAAACGTAACATTTGTCACAAAATATTATTGTCGTACATATATCATCACTTTTAAATCATTTTTAATGAATAAATAATGAAATAACATTATTAATTACTTATTAATTAATTATCTTTAATAATTAACTATAACTACAATATAATTAAGCAAGAAAAAATATTTCCCATATTTAATACAATCATTCACATAACACATTCATAACACATTCATAAATAGTAGTAAATAAAATATATACAACAATTTATAAACAATTTTCATAAGAATAATGATTTTTATTAAACATAATATAGGTTCACAGCTCTATATATGTAATTAAATTATCTACAAGAATTACATATACAATCAAGATTTTAAAATTGAGACTATTTATACGACAATATAGTAACATTCATTAACTAAATCTATCATATTTTAAGTCAAAATGTTGTATATTTTAAGTCAAATATTCACTTATTTCATCATTTCAATAGCAGATTCCATCCCAATACAAAAGTGAAGCGAACATCGAGCAGGATCCCAAGTAGAATGAACTTTTTTCGCAAAATAATTACGAGTTTTCACGATTGGTTCGTGGTCGGACCCCGCCGTGACGCACACCCTCCCTTCTTATTCGGGAGCTCGAGCCATGCTTGATGCAATCTCTCCTAT